AATCACTTAGGAGGATGCTGGTGGGCTTACTGTTGATCTCAAGCTGCTCAAGCAGTTAATTAAAAGAAAGAATAAATAATGATACGGCAACCTAAATTGGTTACAGATTGCCGATAAACGCACCGTGTGAGCCGGCTGCCGCTCCTTAAGCTAGCTCTGGTGCGGCCTGTCGGAGGGCGTCGTATCGGAGGGCGGCCTGTCGGAGGGGGGCCTGTCGGAGGGCGGCCTGTTGGAGGGCGGCTCGCTCCTTTGGTTTTCATCTTTCTTCCTTATTTAACAGTGAACCGAGAGGTAAGCAATCATGTGCAAAGAAAAAAAAACAAAAAAAGATTTGTGTGGGGAAAAGAGAGAGGAACCCAACTGTTGCTATGGCAACCTGTCCTCCCTCGCTGAAAAAAAAAAAAAAAACGAGGGAGATTTTATTTTGAAGGACGCTCTTCTTTGTCTTCCCTCTTTGTTCTTTATTCGGGCAGCTGAGCGGTGATCAAAGGTGTGAGAGGTAGATGAAGCGCAATAATAAAGCAGACAGAGTGGGGGCGTGGGGAGGAAGGGGAGCAGAGGGGAGTGGGGGAGGGAGGATGTGGAGCTCGAAAGGACAAACTGCTGAAAGACTCTTCTGTCTAAATCACAGGAGTCCAATTTGAGTCTAAAGTCCTTCCCGCGTCCTGAAAAGCCGCCCAACTCCGGCGGTCATGGTTAGTGTCGCTCACCGTCTGCGTGACAGAAGGTTGTTTTCACGGCCACAATTTAAGGTAGAGGCAATAAAGCCCCGCGATGCATTGTGGGTTTATTCTCCACGCTTCCTCTCTCTCATCAGTGATAAACCTCCACCCCCGTTCCTCCCCGGAAAAAAAAAAAAAAACACGCATGTAGGCACCAGAAGGGGGTTACGTGCAGGAAACAGAAAGCTCTTGAGGGATGACAGGCTGGGAAAAATAAAAAATACAAGCGCCTGACATCACAGCAACAAAGATAGGAAATTTAACAGGAGAGATGGCAGATCAGTCTGCAAGGCCACAGCTGCTTTTTATGAGGAGGAGATGAAGACATCAGGTTGGAGGAAAACAAACAGATTGACAGTGAAAGGGAGAGGTGTGTAAGTTAAAAACACAGCTGCTCCGGTCTGTTCTGTGTGTTATGGTAGGTTGTGTTAACTTTTACTGTGTGACAAGATGATTCAGAGTGAAAAGAAAAATGTGTCTGGAGATAAAAATTGACGGATACCTAAATTAGCTGGTTAAATTAATGGCGTCAAAGTCACAAAGTTTTCCTGGAGTGAAGACGGCGTGTGAGTGGAAACTCACAGATTTTAGCTGGAGATCTGACAGTCAGTCAGCCAGTGACCATATCTGAGCTCAAACACTGAGAAATTGGATTCTTCTGTGTTACCAAGCTGGAAAAGGATTCATGGTTTTCGATTTCTTCTTGCAAATAAAAATCCTTCCAGCACTGTGGCATGCTGTTTCACTCCTCCTGCTGCAAACTGAAAACCCCAACACAAAATCCACAGCAAGCAGCTGCATTCAGAGGTTTAATACTTACTAGAATTCACTTCAGTCCAAATTCAGAAATACTTTATTGAACCCAAAGAGAAATTAAATGATGTCATAACTCATACATTGCACTGCAAAATCGGAAAATCTTACAAAGGATTTTGGGTTTATTTTCTGGGGCAAATATCCTAATACCCTTGAAATAAAAAAAAACTAACTTACAAGTAACTTTTTAGCAAGATAGTAGATTGTTTTAAGTCAATAATTCCTTAATTTTGATGAAAAAGTCTTTGTTCCAGTGGCAGAACATGGAAAAGAATGGAATAATCTGCCAGTGGAACTAGTGAATTTTTAATCATTATTAAGAAATGATTTACTGTTGCATCTTGCTAAAAAAAAAAAGTTACTTGCACATCAGTTTATTGTATGTCAAATGTTCTAAAATATTTGCACTAGAAACTACAACAAAGTGATGACAACTTACTTTTTTGTGTTCAATTAACTTAAAATTTACCAATCTAACTAACTTAAGTTAACTTAAAGCAATTTTTTACTTTGACTTTACTTGAAACAATTGAGTTCAAAACCAGTTTCACATCCTATGTCTGATCAACTCAGTTCATCCAACTCAATTTACTAAGTTTTCATAACTTAATTCACTAAGTGTTTAACGTGACAAATTTAAGTCACTCTTACTCAAATCATTTATTTGTGTCTAATAAATAATTAAAATCAGCAGTCAGATCTGTCTTCAAGCCAAATCTGACTGAAGAAAGTTGCTGCGTGACGATAAAATGACTGTGATGACACACTATAGGCTCCGTGTTTCTGCAGCAGAGATGATATTCCACAGCAGCGTGTCCTTCATGATGCTGTCGGTTGATGGAAAGCTCAAGCTCTGCTAATCAACCTCACCTGCTTTTGCTGCTCCTCTTTAACGGTGTTTTCACACTATGTAGTCCGGTAGACTCGGTTCGATTGGGGACAAAAATTGTAACATTTGTTACATTCCAGCTGCTGTGGTTCTCGTTCACACTGCACTGTGTGAAACCAACCGAACTCTTTGACAAACCTGTCCCCCTCCTCACCTTTGGTGGCGCTGCACCAAGTGAAAGGAACTGCACAAAAACGTCTGAAGAAGACACTGAGTGAAACATCCTTCTAAACAAAAATGTCAGATTTTAGCAATTGTAGGATTTCTCTCTTGTCTTTGATAAAAGGCCATGAGCCATCTCTACTGGCAGTGCTAGACTTGAGCGTTTGTTTGGATTGAATTTATCCCGGACACGCCCTGCGCTGTAGTCCACTTCCTGCCTCCTGCTCCAAAAGGAAGCAGTCCAAGCGTGTATGTGTCTGCTTGGTGTTTACATTATGCATTGGAAAAAAGATTTCACTTTTTTTCGGTCCACATCAGATTTTGATTTTGCATTCATTCTCCCCAAATGAACCGGACCTTTTAGGCAACCAAGCTGGATAATAATGCCTATTTTGTCTCCTATAACTGCTGAAATGCTTTAAAAGTATTCATTGTAATGCAACAATAAATCAACTTAAAGTCTGCCCGCTTTGTACTCATCACTATGCCATTATTATCTAATTAGACTAATTGGGGTCATGAGGACGTGTGTGTACTTCATGACACATAAATGATGTGACATGCAGAAATACGCCACCCCCCCGTGAAATCGTTAATATTCCTAATTCTTGTTCAATATATCACATAATTGTGTCTGTGGGGGGGAAATGATCAGCAGAGCTAAAAACACAGGCAGACGTTTTCAATTTGATTGTAAAATTCAAAAGTGGGAAACAGAGGATGGTGATCAGAGCGTGAAAAAGAACTATTCCCTCCACTGACAGATAGCTGACAGCCCGCATCCCAGCCGGATGAAGGGTTCCTCCAATCATCTGTGGAGAGACAGGCCTGAGTCTCTGGGGTGAGCGCTGGACGACCCAGGCCAGCGTTTCTCTGGCTGACTGGATCAACCTGCTGAGCGTCTGCAGGAGCAAGAAACCAAAGAAAGGAACAAAGAATCAGTTTCTGCGCTGTTTTAAGAGGACTTTATAAAAGAATGTTCTGTTTAAAAGATTAAGTTACAACAGTACTTTCATTTACATTGAATAATTAAAGGGGCACTGTTGTGTCAAATTGCCTTTTTTTTTTTACTTTACATCTTATGTTATTCTCTCATCAAAAACATAGCTGGAGTGTTGCCTAATTTTATGCACGTTTGAGAAATCCATTAATCTCCATGGCAACCATTCAGCTGTGGAAAATGCCTGGGTTTACCTCGCACCGCCTTCAGGACGAAGCTCTTCTTCTGAGCTGCAGCTTTCAATCTTCTGAGCTTCCACCTCACAGAGCAGCGCTCCTCCACTCAGCTCCTTCAGACTAGCCAGCAGCAATTAGCAAACACCTGTTAGAACTGCGCATCTACTACATTATAGGAGCTACTTCTCAGTGAAATGCTGGTAAAAACATTGTTAAATTGTTAACAGAGGAGCCATGTTGTGATGACTTCCTGAAGGTGGAGCTTCAGAAAGAGCAGGAGTTTCTTAAAGAGGCAGAGGCCCAATTTCAATTCATTAAAATACAATGTCAAATTTCTTTAAAGTCATATTTGATAAATACAGCATTTTTATAACAACTGACAGTGACATAGATACTTGATTGTGCTTTAAAAAGGCACTATGTGCCTGGAAAACCCATAATTTTACCCCTTTTAGTAATTGTAAACACTGACTAGTAACTTTTTTCAGAATCTTTAAACCCTTTAAGATTTTCTCATATTTTCATCCTATAGAGCAAATTACCCGGTAATGTACTTAAATGTTCTTATTTCCAGTGGTAGTTCAGCTTTTGAAGGCCGTCCTGCTGCAGGTCTGTGGTGTGGTCAGTGCTGCATCCTTATGCTTTTTGAAATACATTTATTGTTTCAGATGAAGCAACAATTGGACTAGAAGCTTAATGCATCATAAAGTTGGAGCTCAGATGATCAATCAATCACTCAATCAATCAATCAAATTTTATTTGTATAGCACATTTCAGCAGCAAGGCATTCCAAGGTGCTTTACATAGTTAAAGAAAAAATAAAAACAGTATGTGACATTAATAAATAGATAAAAAGTAAAGATAAAAACATTAAAAAACATCGAAGACATCAAAACCCACACTCTAATCCTAATTTAGCCATAAGCAACTCTAAACAGGTGGGTTTTAAGTTGAGATTTAAAGGCACACAGTGTTTCAGCTGTTTTACAGTTTTCTGGAAGTTTGTTCCAAATTTGTGGTGCATAGAAGCTGCATGCTGCTTCTCCTCGTTTGGTTCTGGTGATGCAGATAATGTCTGAAAACAGTTTAAGTAGATCTTCATCTTTACAGAGACTCTCTGCGTTACCGTGAAAAACGCTCACGTTGCATAACCGGAGGAGCTGGAGCATCACACTGTGCTGGGATGCATATCGGAATACTAACAGACTTCTTCCTCCTCCTGCTCTGTTCTGCAGGGCCCAGCAGAGTGAGATGACAGAGCGTCCAGTCGGCCTGAAGTTCCCCTGACTCCTCAGCAGAAACCTTCAACAGAACCTGAGGTCCAGCTTCCCCCCCTGCTGCCTCCTTCAGCCCCCCATTTCCTGACCCCTCCTCTGGTTCCGGGTCATGGCGCTCCCCAGTGCCAACGAGTTCCACTGGCAGAGCCTGGCGCGTCTGCCCTGCGGCCGTGTCTACCACTCTCTGTCTGAGGTGGGGGGGCAGATGTACATGCTGGGGGGCTGCGACGCTGCGGGGCGGCCATGCCCCGGACTGGACCTGTACTCTCCTGAGGTACCAATCAGTACCACCTGGATGCTGATGCTGCATAATTAGACATATTTAGCTTTTTAAAATCTTTTTATTATTATTATTATTTCTTTTCTTTTATGTTCTCTAGAAATGAAGTGCACTTTTTTAGATGTTTCGGTATGATAATCATATTAGGAATGATTTCTTTTTTTTTTTTTTTTGCTAAACTTGATGGGTTTTTTATGCATATTTTTGTAATTTTATTTACAATAGAACATGTACAATACATTGAGAAACTTCTGCACTCTTACTCTGTTAACCTAAAATCCTCTGGGTGAAAACTACAAGCCCAACATTCCTACATGTGAATAATGTCTGGCAGATGGTAAAAATATTGTTAAAAAAGTAAACCTTTACACTTTTGATGTGATGATGTCATTCAGTAACTTTTGCTGCCTTAAGCCACAAACCGCAACATGAGAAGGTGGATAGTTATCCACCTTCTCATGTTAGGAAATGCAGAGGGGGGAGGGGTCAGTGGCCACACCTGCCAAGGGATTGGTTGCTTCAACAACTGTGGAACAAGCAGTTCCCCTCCAAAACAGGTGGTGGCAGCAGTGACAATATGACTCTATACTCTTATATTTATTAACATAGCAAGGCTTTAAAGAATATAGCATTTGAAAAACAAAAGAAAATAATTATTTTGAAAACACAGATGTTTGGAATTAAAGTGGCTCAGTCTACCCTCCACAGGAAATCAGCACAGGTGGTTGATGCAGATGGAGACTTTATTTTTATTGTAATTATTATTTATTCATTTATTTATTTATTTATTTATTAGGGAGAAATGATCACCTCACTACCTTGTGTATTTACCGTTTTTGCCGTGTGTGTTCAGGGGGACCGCTGGATAGGCTTGGCCCCCATGCCCACCCCTCGCGCAGGCGCGGCCGTGGCCGTGCTGGGGAAGCAGATCCTGGTGGTGGGCGGAGTGGGAGAAGACCAGCGCCCTCTGAAGGTGGTGGAGATGTACAACACGGAGGAAGGCAGATGGAGGAAGAGGAGCGCGCTGCGGGAGGCCCTGATGGGCGTGTCCATCACTGTGAAAGGTCTCCACGGTTACGCAGTAACTCCTCTACATTTATCTTCTTACTAGCTGTGAATCCTGTGAAAATAAAACAGCTTCCAAAGAAGAAACGAGTGCAGCTCTTCAATCAGATAATAATGATAAAAAAGGAAAGATGTCCACAATTTTCTCATTTTGTCTAATTAAGGAGCTGCTTTAATCAAGTCCAATTTGATGTGATTAAAATCAAATTGCCCAAACAAAAATCACCAATAATCATCTCACATTTGTTCAATGGGCTTGTTGCTGAGCAGAAATAAACTTGGTAATAACTGCCATGCTAAAGTTTAGCTGCTTATGTTCAATAAAGAAAAGTGCAGACGAACAGGTTTATGTAAAATAATAAGAAAAAACAACAAATGAAAGGGGAAGAACTGGATGAAATATGGTGGAGCGCTGGAGCTGAATTGAAGAAGTGTCAGGCGCTGGCGGTCTTTGAAGCCCCGCTGGCAGCAGTTAAAGCTCTCAGTCTTCTTGGATGAGTGCATTGAGGCTTTTCACACCTGCAGTTTATCCCGTTCATCCCTGCAGATCCTCCCAGGCTCTGTCGCTCCCGTGAAACTGCCGTCTTCAATTCATGTCGAGCCAAACAACCCAGATTTAGTTCCTGTGGAACATCTGTGGACTGACCTGGATGGGAGGGATGCTTTAAATTTTTTACAAACGCTTGTAAATCTTTGATGAGCTTAAAATAAAAAAAAAAGGAAGCGTAGGCGTAACATGTAATGAAGCCGTAACAGGGGTTGAAGTAATTTGTTAAGCAGAGTTAAATATAACCACAAAGACACATGTTGACAACATTCTGAATGTTTGCTTCTCATTGAGACGTGGTCCGTTTTGTTTGCTCATCACTTCTCTATCAATTCTACGCCTGAAAAGTGCCAAACGTCTCAGAGCTTCAACACAACCACACAACATGCGAAGCATTTCTTGGACCAGGAGATGCCCCCAGTAAAATGTTACTGAACGTTTTTAATTTCTTCTCCTTTTCATAGTTACAGAAAAACTTCAGTGCCACTAATGCCTGGATCACACAGCAAGATAATTATGATGATTTTTGACTCAATTCTTTCCACTATGATACGAGGACGCACAGATTTATCAGGATGGCTCTTAAGAGACATTCCTGCTGTGTGTGTGTGTGTGTGTGTGTTAGGCGCGATCTGGTCCGCTCAGAAGGACGTCTGAACCGCGCCGACCCAGAATGAGACATCTGCCATGCTGAGTTGTGTTTCCCAGAGGACAAATAAAAGTTGTGCATGTTGAATGTCATGTAGCCAATCAGAATGCGAGGTGACCAAAATACAGCGTATGTATTGTTTTTATCTGTTAAACACAATCCACAAACTATCACTTCTTCTTCCCAGGCGGCCATGTTTGTTTACTCTGAACTCATGTTTGATCTGGAGAGATTTCCCATCAGTGAACTCTTGCTATGGCTGCCATGTTTTTATGGTCCTGTGTGGGTTTTGAAAATCAGTCAGACTTTTTTCATCTCGCTGTCTGAAGCAGGCATCACTCTGTGGCCGATAGTGATGAAGTGGACCATGGTCTACTTCCTTTTACACTGCCTGTGTCCGTGTGTGTGTGTGTGTGTGTGTGGGTGTGTGTGTGTGTATGTGTGTGTGTGTGTGTGTGTGTGAGACATGGCTTTTTCCATGACTTTGTTATGGATTGAACATAAAATGTCACAGTTCTTCCTTTTTCCAATCCTCCAAATAACATCAACCCAGGTTATTAGGCTAATCGAGTTTTGACATTTGTAAATCAATTCTGAATCGTCCATGTCGGCGTCTCAAAGCATTAAAACTTTTTAAAGATTGATCGTCCAGCTCTGCTGCTGCTGGTTCTGGATGTTTTCTAGTCTATAGGCAAGAATTTTAAACTTAGCATTCAGAAGTGAAATAGGTTTTGATGGAGCGTTTTCATTGGCTGTGGGAGTTATTGATGCGTCACACCGGAGATGTGTGATTAAAAACAAAAAGTCATAAAAACATTTTGTGTTGAAAGGGAACTGATTCATTGATTAGCCATGTATATGTGTGAGTATTTTAACATCAACTCAGCGTTGCACTGAGCTTTGGTTCACTTCCGTTTCCATCTGAAATGTTGCGTTCGCTGTGGGTTTACAGTGTTTGTTTGGTGCTGCATCTGTCAGCGTCTGCTGGAACACAGATAGACGGCGTTCACACACTGTGTATGTGTGTATGCTCAAATCCTCCTGACCAACAGAACAGTCCGCCGTCTGACCAAACGATCGGTACAGAAAAATGAAAACAAATATTCCTTTTCGTGTTGACTAGATTAAGCATTTATCAACATTTTTGAGAATCTTTATTTGTACTACATAGCAAACTCCAGGTAATTAGGTATTGTTTTAGTTTTCCCCAAGTAAATCTAAAGTGTTAAGGAAACTTCTCCCACCCTGTCAGTTGCATCTTCATACTTAGCAGCTTTTCCAGCCGAACGCAGACACTTGAAAAATGAGCAAAGTTAAAACATAATAAGAATGTGAATTCTTCATTTCCTCTGCTATCTGATGTTTAGTGCTGCATCCTGTCTTAATCCAGCCCTCTTCCCGCTTTTCCGTTCTCATGCCTGATGTGTCATTCCAAAGTGCCAGACGTTGGACTGCAGCATTTTTATTCGGCAGCAGAGCCGCCTGTCCTCCTCCCGTCTGTCACAGCCTCTTGCTTTGTCACAAGTCAACTCATCGTTTCCACCGGCGAGTTGAAAGTGCAAATTTTTAGAAAAAGTTGGGAGTGAGGGAACCGGTTTTGTGCAATGCTAAATATTTTGATATTGGTCTCCAGTGTGGTCACCGGAGGAAAAACCTGCTGAAAACAAAGACTGTTCTTAATTTGTTTATACTTTAGCGTCCATGTGACCAGAACCGGATGGATTTCAAGACAAGGCAGTGGTCCTGCTGTGTCCAAAATGCTGTTACCACAAAACGCTGCAAGACACGCAAAGGTTCCAAAGTCTCATTTTCAGCCGTCTGTAGTGTGACCAAGGCAGAAAACTGTGAGAAATCTTCAAGACGCAGCAAAGAAAGAAAGAAAGAAAGAACTTTGGCTGTTCAGTAGGGTTCAAGGAGCTGCTGGTTTCATCACTGCTGGTGAATTTAGTGGATGAGTTTGTTGAATTTGGACAGGATGGACAGGTTCTGTACCAATGTGGGAACGTTGAGCCGTCTGTGTTGACGAGATGAGAAATCCATTTTTTTAAAAGCGACTTTGTGTTTATTACTGTACATGCAACTTGTGCAAACCTAAGAGAACATAAATCTACTCCACACAGTTCAGATTTTCAGTGGTTCAGCATATATTTTTTGGATTAACTGATTAATAGCTGGATGGAAAAACGTGCTTAAAAGGACATTTTTTGTTTGTTTGTTTACATACAGTATTTTCCGGACTATGGAGCACACCTCACTATAAGCCCCACCCACAAAATAAAAAAAATAAAAAAACTGCAAACGTACATATATAAGCCGCTGGTATCTCCTCCGCTCTCGGTTTTTGATAAGGATGCAGCAGAGGGCAGCAGAGGGCTGCCTCCTCTGCAACTCTTAATAATCTGCGATTAAGGACGCACGATTATTTTTGAGTTATCAATTAATCACTATTAATTGTTTCAGCCCTAAAGTGCAACACTGAGGTACGTTCTAATGTTACGTCAAACATAACATTGCAGAAAAAACAACTTACTGTTACAGGAAAACCATTTATATCCCGACATCGATGGCCGTGCTAGCTAGGTTAGCATTAGCATTCACAACAGGCTATGATAGTTACTGCGTCACAGAGAGCAAAAGGAGGAAGGGGAACGACTGCGATTGTGATTGACAGCGCTAAGACCCACCCCCTGTCTCTGATTGGTTGCTTCTAGGTAGAAGGCAGAGGAGCTGGATTGTTTTATGTAATTCATAACAAACTGTCACAACATGGTGACAATTTCAACAAATATGTAAAAAGATCTTTTTTTTTTTTTTTTATAAAAGTTACATACCGCAGCTTTCCATCAAAAACAACATTGCAGAAAATCCAACACTGCTGGATTGTCTTTTCAATATTTTAGACACGCTCCATGGAAACATGTGTGAATACGTTGATTTTCTGGGGGGGGGGATCTGCCAATACTGACCAGGGAGCTATTGTACATTAACCTGTCTGTCACGAGAGGACCCAAATTTGGGTCCTCTCGTGACAGAGGTGTCAAACTCCAGTCCTCAAGGGCCGCTGTCCTGCAACTTTTAGATGTGCCTCTGCTGCACCACACCTGAAAAGAATAATTAGGTCATTAGCAAGGCTCAGGAGAACCGATCTACACAGGGAGGAGGTAATTAAGCCATTTCATTCCACTGTTTTTTACCTGTGGCACATCTAAACACTGCAGGACAGCGGCCCTTGAAGACTGGAGTTTGACACCCCTGTCATTGTGAATGACAACCTGAGACCAACAGGTTAATGCTGTTGCATTCTTTTTGTATTATAATGACCAGTTCTGATCAACTAAAGAGAAGTTTCCTAAACCATCTGTGTGTGGCAGATAGCCGTGCTCTGGCTGTTGGAGGAATGGCCGCTGACCTGTTCCCTCGCAGCGTCCTGCAGCAGTACGACCTCAGGAAGGACGTCTGGGCGCTACTTCCTCCCATGCCGACTCCTCGCTACGACGCCAACTCCCACCTGCTGGGCAACAAGCTTTATGTTGCAGGTAACTCTCCAGAATAAACAGACTTTCTGCTCTGTTTCTGGCGCCTTTTCCAGAATAAAAAAACTTTAAAAAACATGCAATTGTTTTCCTGAAGGTGGTCGCCAGTGTAAGCGACCATTGAAAGCTTTTGAGGTGTACGACACAGAAGCACGCTCCTGGACCTCGCTGCCTGTTCTGCCATGTAAGCGCACCTACGGGGGTGTGATATGGGACTCTGCTGGGAGGCTGTGTCTGCTGGGAGGATTACGGCAAGGCGGAGGACACCAGAGCTCCAAGTTCACCAAGAACGTCAATATTTTTGATACCAGTCAAGGTACAGAAACACACCTGTTGTCTTCAGGGGTTTTTGTTTGCACCTGTTACAGTGCTTTGGCCGATCACCGATCTTTAAAAAAGCCTGACCTTTAAAATCCCCAATTCCGATTTTGGCCGATATCGATTTTTTATTTTTATTTTTTGTCTGAAATGTTGCTAAATATAGCAAGGAAGTGGCTCAGTTGGCTCAGTGGGGGTGACTGTTGTTAACTGCAGACATGCAGACATCACCTGGTGGGCGGGGCTAACAGTCAAACCTCTCAGGGGAGAGCAGAAGAGGACAGTGGTTGATTTTTAGACCTTTGCTGAGTTAAATAAAATCAGCTTCACACATAAGTATCAGTTGACTACTAATCACCCAAAATGAAGGAAATTGGCACAGATAAACCAGTTGGCCAATAAATCAGTGAACTGCATATGTGCCCTACTGGTCATGCAGTTAACCCCCAAATTATTCTTACATCCTGGAAGATTTAGGTGTTAAAGTAATATTTCAATTTTATCAACGTATATATTTTTAATGACTAAAAGTAATATTAATAAAATCTCCCGGTTTGAGTACTTAGAACTTGAACCCAAGCAAGAGAAGCACTACTTTAGCATATTTTTACTCTGATCTCTGGTGTTAAATCAGTATCAATGATATGATAAAACAAAAATTGTTTTAAAAAATATAATTTCTTAACACAGAAAACGTTTTTGTAGGTTATTTGTTGGTATTAACCTTCAGATAAATATTAATTTATCTGCAGATTTTGAAAACATCTTCACCATTTTTCTGTACGTTCAGTTTGAATCGATTGGAGAAGTGGGATCGTATTGAACATTGTCGGTGCTTTGCGGCCAGCCGTGATAACCACGTAGAGCAGCAGAGTTCGATCAGCGGGGCTCCACTTCCAGGAGTCGGTTAGCTTGCTGAGAAGTTGTGGGTGGCAGCCTGTCTCCTTCGGCGTTTTCTCCAAAAGCTCAATACGAAGCCTTCTCCCTCACTCTGTTTATTCTGTGCAATGTCTGAAACTGATTTGTTACTGAAAAACGCTGAAAATGGCTCTTGACTTGTGTTTTTTTTATTTTTTTTTTTATTGGCAATTACAGAATCT